TCTCTCTCTCTCTCTCTTGCTCTTGCTCTCACTCTCTCCCTCCCTCCCAAAAACTCTGGCCTTGGGCTGCCTTTATTTTTAAAATATTGTTGCTCACACATAAAAGCAACAAGTTTCCTAAAGCTCAGGTCTGATAATTTCACTCCCCTAACTAAATAAACTCCAGGGCATGGGGAAATAGATCACAAGGTTAAGAAGATTGAGGATTGGGAAGACAAGGTAATTGAGAGAACACCAACAGGTACTTTGAGATCCCTGATCATAAGGCAAGAACTGGGATGGAAAAGGAGGGTAGGGAAATAGGCACTGAATTCTTTTGAGGAAGAAGGAAAAATGACTTGGGGGCCAGCAGAAAGCAGTCACCATAGTGGCTCCTAGACTCCAGCTAGGTCTGCAAGCAGAATTTGTACTGAAAAGATGTTGCGGTGTTGCCAAGTACAGCCTTGTAAACCTCAATGTATCACATCCTGAAGATCTACCAAAGGAACACAAATGGCACACGAAAGTGTATCAGTGGATCCCAGAAATAATGTGGAGGTGGCCTGAGCTGTTGTTGTTCAGTTGTTTTCAGTCATGTGGGACTCTTCGTGATCCCATTTGAGATTATCCTGGCAAAAATACTGGCATGGTTACCATTTCTTCTCCAGTTCATTTTACATATAAGGAAACTGAGGTAAACAGGGTTAAGGGACTTGTCCAGGGTCACACAGCTAGTAAGTGTTTGAGTCCAGATTTGAACTCAGGAAAATGAGACTTCCTGATTTCAGGCCTGGTCCTCTATCCACTGTACCACCTAACTGTCTGAGCTCGACACCTCTAAACTGATCTAAATTCCAGATGAGCTCCCGTAATATATCACAGGGGTTCCCGCTGACTCTTCCCCCAACCCTATTGGAATTGGCAGCTGCTAGCTGGCACAATAAATAGAGAGCCAGCCTAGAGTCAGGTAGACCTGAGTTCAAATCTAGCCTCAGACACTTACTAGCTGTGTGACCCTGGACAAGTCACTTAAACTTCATTTGCCTCAGTTTCCTCACACGTAAAATGGGATAATAATAGCACTTAACCTCCAGGGTTGTTGTGAGGATCAAATGAGATAATCATTATAAACACTTAGCACACTGCCTGCTGCATAGTAACCACTCTATAAATGTTAATTAGTTGTTATTATTGTTATTAATTAGGTTCCAATGTGGAGAATTTTAAATAGTATCTTATCTTTTTGACTGACTTGCTTCCACACAGTTTTGAAAACTTAGGAAAATCTGAAGTTACATCATGTTTCTGTTAGACTTGCCATGTTAAAAGTCATGGGTCCAGAAGAATACTGAAATGGTCAAATATATAATCAGGGCAGAAATGGTTTATAAGGTTGCAGGAGGAACAGTATTGGCCACTGCATGTTCCTGGGTAAGTATGGTTTCAGTTCTTATCCAGGGAGTAGTGTGGGAAACAAACTCAACCAGAGTCACGATGGCGGAATTGGCTTGGGAAAACCTGAAGTCATGGTCAAAAGAAATCCACATTGTTCACATATCACTGGACACAGCAGATCCATCTTGAAGATGACCACTCTTCTCTCTCCCCTAGTTGAATCATCTTCCTCTGTTGAGGAGGATTTCCCCATATGATCCCTTTTCCTATTTGGAAAAACATGTTATAGTCATATGTTCATATGTTGTCATATATTCATGTACTCACGTAGTCCATATGTTATAGTTGGTAGGCGTTTGAGGTGAATGACTGGAACAGAAAGGGAAGAAATTGCTCTCAACATCTGATGCCTTTAAAGAAAACAAACCGTTGAAGAAAATGCCAGGGTTTAAACTCTTAGGGTGTGGTCTGAACTGTTTTGACTTGTGCAGCTACAAAGGTAAAAAGAAGATTTCCATCATTCTTCACTATTATGATTAAAATCTCAGTTCCTTTAGATGCATCACATCTTTGTTAGTTTTTTTTCCTTTCTTTTCAAAACTTCAGCATTTCAAGAGGTGGGACCAGATTGTGAGAGGAAGCACTTGAGGGCTCTGAGTCATGTTTTTGAAGGCGTTTCTTTGAAACAGAATATTTACCTGAAGGCATGCTAGCTCACACACAAGGCAGTGGAGCTGGTCTGAGGACTTCTGAAGGCCAGACCTAAGAGAGAGGCAGGATGAGCACCACAGGAAAAGTAAGCAAAGTATTTCTGTATCTTCATCACAAACTAGGGAGATGGGTAACTCTGCAACCTTCCAGCATCTGAATTATTTGTTTAAGGAAGTGAATTTTCAGGAGAGGAGAGGTTTGCCTAGGCAGACAAGCATTTAGCATATATATTACATTACATTACATTATATTATATTATATGTGCTTTATTTTAATGTATGTGTATGTATATAGAACTATATATGTAAATATGTATGTGTTTGTAAATATACATAGTATGTATATATGAATATACAGTATATATATCTGTGTATGTATGTATATATACAGCAGAACTTTTCATTGCTACAGGATGAAAATGGGGGCTATGAATGGAGTGACCATGGGGAAGGGGGCCCTTTCTCTAGGATTTTAGCAGTGACTGAAGGAATATGCTTTAAGTTGATTTTGATAGAATGTTAGCACCTTCTTCTCTGTTGTATTTTGATACAATTAAGTGATGGAATGCAAAAGATAGAAATCAAACCTATAACAGCACCAAAAGACTGGGCATGCCCATGAGGTTACTTAAGGATGTGATTTTTATCAACTACCTGTGTGAACATAAGAAGTAAGGATGGCTCTCATTAAAGACTTGTTTATGTGGGCAAAAAAAAATAACTGAGCATGTGGGAAGAGAAGAGGATCTTAACCTTTTTTGTGTATTGTGGACACTTTAGCTGTCCATGGACTTCTTAGAATGATGTTTTTAAATGTGTAACATAAAAATACATAGAATAACAAAGGAACCCAATTATATTGAAATACAGTTATTGAAATGTAAAAAAATAACAAATCATTATCATAGACCCCCAAGTTGAGAATCATTGGTAGAGTTTTAAAGTTTACAAAGCTTGCTTAGATATAAAATATAGTTCTAAAAATAACCATGTAAAGCCAATAAAGTTCTCTTTATCTCACTTCACAGATGTGCTGCTCAGCGAGTTTAAGTGATTTGCCTAAGGGCAGGCCAATGCTTTTCTAAAGTAAAGTTGTATGTTTTGGGTTTTTTTTTTTTTTTAACCATACCATACTGCTGCTTGCAAGTTCATATAATCGGGGAAAAAAAGATGCTTAGAATTCTTTAAATGTAGTGATTGGGTCCAGTTTAAAAAGAGTTTGGGTCTTTACTTCATTTGGCAAAATAGTTTAAAGAGGTCTAGAAGAGCCAGAATGTAAAAATACCTCAAAAGACCAAATCATTTTTTATACATCAGTTGTAACAGCTGTTTTTATGACCAAAGCAAAATCAGTTTAATTAGTCAATTATTTTCTCATTTTGACATGGATCTATTATTTGCAAAAGTAGCTTCTGTATTTTTTCTTCATAAATGCTTTTTATGCTGTAGATGATGTTTGAATTCAGATATATCAGCAAATATAATCCTAACCTTAGGGTTTGAAATGTTGAGAATGGCTTTGAGTGGAGGATGTACTCCGGAGCATTTGAATTTGGTTAATTTTGAGACCAGCTGGTTCATGTAAAGACTAGATGAATCTGGTAACTGCACTTTTCCTTCCTATGCTAACCTTCCTGAATTAACTCAAGGTGTTCTGAATTTCATCTTTCCGTGAATGATGACTAATATGAAGTCCATGGACTTGGGAGCAGTTCTCCAGATGGCCCTTAAATCTCACTTAATCTTAAGCTTCAGTCACCTCTGCTCAAGGTTACATACAAGCCAATGAAACATTTTCCCAGAGCACAGGTGGCAAGGCTCCCTGGCTTTTGGGACAGGGCCTCTGGGGTTAGCTCCCTAGGGGCCAGCATAGAAAGCAAGCTATAGCGGCTGTTCTGAGACTTTCTCCTGTGAGGAATGTCTGTGCGGATCCTCCATATGCCCGCCTTTTCCACGTTTTACCACCTACTGCTAACGTGGATCTGACATGGATGTCTCTTCTCCTCTGCCTTTTCCTTCCACTCTCTTCTATTCCTCTGGGAAATCTCCCTACAGGTGCTCTGGATTCTGAAGGGTTGTTTGGTTTTGTTTTGTGTGCTTTGTTTGTTTCTGTTCATTCAGCCCAGAATTTCCCGGTAGCTCCCTTCCCTGTAAAAACTAGTTCTGAAGGGCACTGAAATTAGGCCCAAGGATCTGTTGGTACACCTGCAATTTTCCCCTACACTCTCCTTCCAGGAACGTGTCATCTTGTAGTCACTCAGCACAACTTGTCTCTTTAGGTATGTCTCACCACATGCCTTTCACGAGCACAAATATCACTTACGGCAGGAAGAGACCAGGGGACAAATTGGAGGGGTCCTTATTTAAGTGGATCAGGAGACAGAAGAACCAGAAAAATGTGTGAAGATGAGAACCAGGGATTCAGGCCTCTAGCAGCACCACTTACCCCACAGCCCCTCAAGGACAAAGAAGGAGAATTAGTACACCGAGTGACCTGCTGTCTACTCTAACATCAGCCAGATTGCATCAGATGCTTGCTTCAGAAGAGTGTGATAATCATCACACATCTTATCCTGAGAGCCTATGCCAGTGTGTGGAACAGCGAGCAATATTTACCCAAATTAAACTCAGAGGATCCTCAAGGTAGAAAGTAGAAAAGAGTTTTATTACGATCTCGCGAGAAAGGGCGACTCACACCAAGTGTTCTCTCAGTGTCAGGGTATAGATCCTGGCCTCAACGCCCCCCCCTCCTCTCAGCTCAAAATCACAAGCCTTGAAGGTACAATCTGGAACTCGATAATCTACCCCAAGGACAGGGACAAGTACAGGGCAAACAGATGCCGATATGCGATGACCTACCCCAGAGTTCTTGCCACTTTCAGGCCCCTTGCCTTGAAACGTGCAGATGTGATCATATCCTGTGTCCCCGCTCTTATTCCTCACGGTCAACAACTTGTTTTTACAGTAAAACTGGGCAGGGACCTATAGATTTAGATTTTAGGAGAGGTCTTCACCATATTTCACTCACCAGGTCTCTTCCCCAACTCCACGATGTAGGGCTGGCCTTGGTAAAATTTCAAAATGGAAAAAGCAGCCGGCATCTTCCTGCCTCAGTTTCAGACTCCTCCTTTCTCCTAAATCACCTCTCAGTAAGACTGCAGCAATCATTTCTCTCACATTGCTGCCTTTGTGATCCCAGCACAGTCACCCACCTAGGCCACCCTACACCACTAAACATTCCAGGGTGCAAAAAGAGATGTCAGCACTGCCATCAAAAGCCTAGTTGCTTTAAGGCTGCTGACTTTACCTGGGAACTAGGGGGCAAGAAAACTGTTCGAGTGAATTCACTCTGCTGCAATGTCGCAGGACCTCCCTGACTTTCCCCCAAGGGTCCAGGAGGCTCATTTTGGGGAAAAACCTCATGAGCATGCAAGACCCCGTCAGCCTCGGGATTCCACCTCCCCATCATCCTCTGTCCCTCTTATTGGAGAGTGGGGCTTATGAACTTTTTTAGCCTTCCATTTAAGAAGAGGGTACAATTCAAAACACTTCCTCGTTTCTCACCTGACTGCACTATCTTTGAACTTCTCTGACTTTTCCACTACACCCCAATGCTGGGTACTTTCCGGGCTCACTCCACTCCCTTGCTTTTCAGCTCCTTTTATGTGTTTTCTTCCTCCCTCCCCATTAGATCGTAAGCTCCTTGAGGGCAAAGACTGTTTTTCTTTTTTTCTTACGTGAGAGATGATCTCTGAGAATCTCTCAGGAATGAAGCCTCCTCAGGGAGTTAATTGCTTCTTGTTCTGTTGAAACACTTGCAGCTCGTTGATCTTGTAAAGAAACATGCTTTTCAACTTTATCAGACCTCCTCCTCCCTCTCTAAAACTATTTACTCTAAAAAGAAAAAGAAAACTTCCTGTCTACAGGCAGGTTGTAAAAAGTGTCCTTGTTCTTTGTTGCTGGGGTAGATTGCCCCGAATAGATTGTACCCTCAGGGCTTGCATTAATGAGCCCTGAGGAAGGGGGGGGAAGGGGATTGCTCTAGGACCTATATCCCACGCACTTATTTCTATCCCTACCACTTACCATAGCACCTGGTACATAGTAGGCACTTAATAAATGTTTATTGACTGACTGACTCTAATGTTAGTGACTGACAGTCAGTATTTGCATTTTTCAAAGGTTTCCTTTAACTCAACTAAATCCCTAATTGGTGAAGTCCTATATCAGGTAATGGAACACACCTCTAAGATATTTCTGATTCTCAGTCTCTTCCTTTCCTCTACTTCTGGATCCAGAATTTCACTGAAATCTGTGAGTTCATTTTTCCCTTCTTCCACTGCTTTTCTTGTCAATGTCTCCAGCCTTCAGAGGGACAGGTATTTCTATTTAAACTTGCAAATGCATGGAAAAGGTCCTGGTCTTGAGGAAAGTTAGATGAACAGCCCACCCTGATAGAATGCTTCTTTTGTGAAAAAAAAAAAAAATTATTTATTTTTAATTTATGGAATAAAACGAGCATTTCTATAACAGCATAATTTAAAAAAGATGATTGCACATAAAACCACAAATCTATTATGTACAACTTACTATTCCTTTTAAATATATAATAAAGTTATTATGTAAATTTCTTTTTTCTCTTTTCTTCCCTTCTTCCCCACCCTAGAGATGGTTACATTAGAGACAAATATGTCTGTGTGTGTGTATACACACACACACACACACACACACACATATATATATATATAAAATCATTCTAAACATTCTATTTATCAGTTCTTTCATCAGTTCAAGATTCAGACGGCACCTTCATTCTTATGTCCCTTGTATTTATTTGGGTATTGATAGTAATCAAAACAACTTAGTCACTCAAAGTACTTAAAACAATATTGCTGTTACTGTATACAACATTCTCTTGGTATTGCTCATTTCACTTTTCATTTTTTCATGCAAGGCTGTCCATGTTTTTCTAAGATCATTGAACTCATCATTTCTTATAGCACAGTAGTATTCCATCACAACCATACACTACAACTTGTTCATCCATTCCTTTCTTACAATGGACTTTGCCATGCTTACGCTAGTCAAATGCCAAGGTCTATGGGTTTATGAGTATGTCATATAAATATGTTCTTGCTATTTTTCAAGGTGATTAAATGCAAAGCTGCTGTGTTGTGGGGCCTGAAACAGCCCTTTTCCATCGAGGAGGTGGAAGTTGCCCCACCGAAAGCCTATGAAGTTCGAATTAAGGTACTGACATTCCTAATATGGACTAATTTTTCCCCTTAAGAGAAGGCCTGAGATTTCTTTCTTATAGGGAACTGTCAAAGAGGAAACTCTTACAATGCAGATCAGCCCCTGTTTTGCAACTTAGAGACTTAGAGTTGCCTGGAGACATTAATTAGTTCAGTGTCCTGCCCAGACTCAAATAGCCAATATGGGTCAAAGGTGGGACTTGACTTTAAGTCTTAAATGATGTTGTATCAGTCAGATGCCTAAGTTAACACCATTCTAAACATTTGCTGGGTTTATAATCCCATGGGGCTAAGGGTCCCTGATGTAAAGAAACAGCATCCTTGGAGCTACACCACTGGCATGGCTAACCAGTTAAATAGTTCTGCGTCATGTTCTTGCCTTCGTAACATTAGGCATAACCTCAACTCTGGCTGCTAATATTGCTATTGTTCTACTCTTCAAGGTGCATCTCAAAGATTCCTTTTAGGACAGTTCTCTTAGAAAGGTGTTTGGATCCCCACAGCTGAGATAAATACAACCAAACCTATAGCATCACCGCCCCCCCCCCCCCCCATAAGGACTTTGGTCAAAGCTCCAGAAGTGCATTAAGAAGGGAATATGAGTCACCCAGAACTAGATGTCTGCAATATTGTATCATCTTTTGAGAATCATATTCAGAGGGCTCTAGATTAATGCTTCCTAACCTATGCCGATTTCATTTGATGTCTATTTGTAATTTTGCAAGGTTTACCTTTGGAGTTGTGATGCCTAGTTAGGTGCTCATCTTCCTTTCTCTAATATATCTCCTCCCTGCCTCCCCACCCCACACCAACCCTGGTCTCTTCTCTCCTCTCCTCTCCTCTCCTCTCCTCTCCTCTCCTCTGCTCTTCAGCTGCGACTCACAAAGATTAGAGGCTCGAAAGAATTCAGAGTGAATATCTCCAATAGAAGAATTCAAAATGGATATCAAGTGGAGGGCAATGGAAAGATGCCTGTTGGCTGAGAGCAGAGGATCTTGGAAATAAAGAATGTTGTCATGGAAATGTTTGCTCCAAGGAGATAGGCAGATCACACAATGAAAGCAAGCTAGACAGCCCCTGTGGGCTCCCATAAGACTACAGCACATTAAATGGGGAATGGAGGAAGACACAGATGTGAGTTACGTAAGAAGGTGGGCAGACTTGAATGGCTTGTAATCTACATTGTTGCAGGCCACATCTGGATCAATGAAACACAAATTTCACTTGCATATTTATGCTGGACCATGGCATCTTTCTGTCCCTTGTTAAATAGTTATTGAATGAGCACCTTAATAATAATGAAAAGTAATGATTTTTTTAAATAAAATCTCCTCAAACTCAGTTAGCCATGAAATATTTTCTATTGATTGACATTAGGAACATATTTACACTGTCCTCTATACTTGAATGCCTTGCCCCATTATCCCATCATTACTCATCCTCTTCTAGATAACGAACCCTGGACTAAGGCCAATGTTGGCTTCCTCTCCCTGTACTCTCATGCTTTAAATCCTGGCACAGGGAATCACACAACTCTGCTGACCGAGGCTGCTCCAAATTGCTGTCCTCTATTCTTAACTGCCCCTCCCCTTCTGCACAACAATTCATTTATTCTGCCTTGATTGACTCTGGGCTTTTTAAAATATATATATATCTTCCAAACCATCTCTTTTGTCTGAGAGCTACCTACAATACAGCATCCTACTGTCTCAGCAGAGAATACTTTTATTTTATATTTCACTGAAAATAAAAAGCCTCATACTGTGTTGAAAATATTGAGTCTATTTTTAGTACACTTTCTCTTGTCCTTGATTCTGTTCCTCAAACACTCTCCACACTGTTCCCCATTCTAGCTTCCTTTGCTGTTGTCCACGAAGAGGTTGCCTTTCTTCTCGCCAAGGTCAACCTCTCCACCGGTGCCCTTGATCTCAGCCCATCCTGTCTCCTCTGAGAACTTGCTGCTCCCATCCTCGATTCCTTCTACTATTAATATTATTCAGTAGCTCCTTAGATGATGCTTACAAACGTGCCCAGACTTCCTAGTCCTTTAAAAACCCAAGCTTGACTTTTCTATTTCTCTGTCTCTCTCTCTTTGTCTCTCTCTGTTTCTGTCTCTCTCTGTCTCTATCTCTTTCTGTCTCTCTGTCTCTGTCTCTCTGTCTCTCTCCATTTCTCCTCCCTCTCATAGTCTGTTGCTCCTTGTTCCTTCTATTCCCTCATCTCCTGACTCTTTCAGCTCTTCATACTCTGACCCAGTATCAATGATCTCTTTAAAAGCACACTGTTTTTCATTATTGATCTTCTATTTTCAAGTAGATTTCATTAATCCCTTTTGTTTCTACAACACTTTCATTTCTTCTGTATCTCTTTCCTCATCCTCCAAGATAGCTTTCTTATTACAAGGAATTTTTAATAGCAAGAGAAAATATTTAGCAAAACATATCAATCTTTAAAAAATTTTCAGTCTTACATGTAGTGTGCCACATTCAGGGGACTCATAACTCTGCAAAGGCATTGTGGGTAGGAGGGAGCTGTCTTTTCATATCTCTTTTCACCAAGCTTGTCTTCTATGACTTTGTAATATTAATTTTCCATTGTTCAAAGGTGCTTATTCTCTTTACAAATACATCTAATTGTTATTTCTAGTCCATAGCTTTCATGATTTCTCGATAGCATCTGACACTGCTGACCACCTCTCCATTCTGGATCCATTCTCTCTTCCTGGGTTTTCCTGATTATTGCTTCCTCTTGGTTCTGCTCTGACCACTCCTGCTCAGTCTTCTGTGGAAGTTCATTACCCATTTCTCACTCTGTATCTGGGAGCTCTATTTTGTATGAAGGCACTACTCTGGGTCCTCTTTCCTCCTTTCTCTACAGTCTCACTCTGTGACCTCATCACCTCCCATGTATTCGTTATCATCTGTATACAAATTTGTATGCAAATAAGGTGAAAATTCATTTACTGTGCTCACTCTCATTTTGCTTCTGAGCTCCAAGCCTGTAAGACCAACAGCTTATGGAACTCTCTCCATTTGGATATCATATTAACCTCTCAAATTTGATATGTCCAAATCTGAACTTATCTCTCCTTCTCCCAACCACCCAGTCCCACCCTTCCTCCTAATGCTTCTATTTCTATCAGGGACGTCGCCTTCCTTCCAGTCACTCAGGTGTGCAAACTCAAAGACAGGTGCAATTCCTCACTTTCCCTTATCCCCTATGAACAAGCTTTGATTCTCCCTCAATAGCACCCCTCAAAATTGTCCCCTTTTCTCCTTTTGCATGCACCACACAATTGTTCAGATTTTCTTCACCTCCTGGTTGGACTCTTGCCATAGTCCCATTATAGACATGGTCTCTCTCTTGCATGGTTTATTCTCCAAACAGTTGCTGAATTTATATTTCTGAAGCCCTGGTCTGACTGTGTCTCTGTCCTGAGACTTTTTAGCCTTTATGATAAAATACAGCATTCTTCTGCTTGATTTAAATCCCTTCACAATTTGGCTCCAAACAATCAACCTGAACTGATTTCACACTGTCACCTTTAACGTATGCTCTTTTCCAGCCAAACAGACCTACTTTCTGTCCTCTTTATGTTACATCTCCCATCACCATGCATTTATACAGAATCTACACCTGGAATGTCTTCTTCCCTCACCTCCTCCTCTTGAAATCTTAAGCCCCCTTCAAGGCTTGGCTCAAGTACTACCTTTCCTGATCACCCCTCCCCAGTTATTGTTGGCCTCTCCATCACTTCAAATCTATTTGTATTCACTTAGTATTTTGTATTTACTCATTTCAATCTGGGTGGAGTGTAAGCTCCTTGAGGACAGGGACAGTTTGGTTTTATTTTTATATACCTAATACTTAGCATTTTGTTTTGTATACCTTAATAAATTCTTGTTGAATTGAATTGGAATTTATAAAATAATAAAATAAGATATGCCCTTACAATTAGAGATATTTACATTTTTACAGTAAAAATAAATCAAAATACAATCATATGAATTTATACTATTTTTTCTTATTAATAAAATATTTTGAAATTCTGTGTGCATTGAGTAATGACCAATTTCCTAAAAACCTTTCTTATTTCCTTTCCTGTCCACTTCCCATGGTTCATCCTCCAATAATCAAGCCATAGCCATTTGCATTTTCTCTAGTGTTTAGATTCACTGTAAATTTCCATTTAACTTTTCTGTTACCTTAAAACAATGTTTGAGGTCAAAGAATCTTTTGCAGCTTGCCAACCGAGTGACAAACAGTTCCTCATGCCTAGCACTGGGATAATCGATACTAGTAGGAGCTTTCAGAAAAAAGCTCACTTTCTTTTGACCTACTCTTTGAGATCATCCCAGACGAAAATGTTTTGTGAGATGTAAAAAGCTAAAAAAATTCCAGATCATGTAGACCTTCGGTGAGTTGATCACACTTGGTTTGGTTCTTCCATTTGAACACTGCATGTCACTTCATATGACATGTCACTGCCCTACTGAATCATACTCCCCCACGATGAAAGCTCCCTCAGCACAAGAACCTTAGAGTTGGCAACGCACCCAATACAATGGAAAGCACTAATATATTTATAAGAGGATCATCTTTAAATATAAGCTGCATTTCACTTAAGAATGATCTAAGTAGTCCCTTCCTGCTATGACCAAGATGTCCTGTTACCCCAGGGTTCAGTCGTCTTTCTCTTTCCATGTAGATCTTGGCCACAGGGATCTGTCGTACAGATGACCATGTCATCAGTGGAGCAATGACTACTAAGTTTCCAGTAATTGTGGGACATGAAGCAAGTGGGATTGTAGAGAGTATTGGAGAAGGGGTAACTACAGTGAAACCAGGTGAGGCAGGGGTCTTTAACTTGGGTCTATGAATTTGTTTTTCATAAACAATTTTTATAACTATATTTCTTTTTAATTTATGGGATAAAACAAGCATTTCTATTATGTTATGTTGTATTTATTTTATTTTATATGCTATGTTAAAAGACTGCCCATGAAACTGCATTTCAATATACGTGGCTTCTTTTGTCATCCTATATGTATTTTATGCATTTAAAAACCTTATTCTGAGAAAAGCTCCATAGGCTTTATCAGACCGCCCAAGGGGTCAGATTAAGAACCTCCTGAGGTAGAGGAATATTGAGTAAGGCAACTACTCAAATGTCAGAGCAAGAAAAGTAGGTATAACACAACCTTCTTCTGCCCATAAACCTAGGGCACACTCTGTCATGAATAGACACAGTGCCATCCATGGTAAGAGTGGGTTCATGCTTAGAGTATAATGGAAATGAGGCACACATGTAGGATACACATGTGACAAAGGCGATTCTTAACTCTTGGCATTGTAGGGCCTGGAAGGCTTGTCTTCATTGTGTCTTCATTCACTTCCTCTTGGGTTTGCACCTTTGTTGGGCAGATTACCCAGCTGGGCTCTTAGGGACTGGTCTCCATCTTTCTTCTACTTTCTTTTTTGCTGATAGTGTCACACTCCTTGAAACTGCTTCCTCTCCAGCCCCTACCCCAATTAAGTGACTCCCTCCCTATATCCGTATCTGTCTGGAACGTGTGTCTCTTCAGAGACATAGACTCTGACAATTTCCTTTCCTCCGTCTCCCCCACCTACCAGTACCTACTCTACAAGCAGCTTCTGGTTAAGGGGAAGGAAGGAAGGAAGGAGGGAGGGAAGGAACAAGAAAGGAAGGGAGGCAGGGAGGAAAGGAAAGGAAAGGAACAAAGAATGAAGGAATGGAAGGAGAGAGGAGGGGAAAGAAGGAAGAACAGAGAGAGAGGAGAAGAAGAGAGGGAGAAAGGAAATAAGCACTTCTTAAGTGCTTACTATGTACCAGGGACTGTGATTAGCACTTTACAAATATTATTTCATTTGATTCTTAAAGAGTAGGGACTATTATCATCCATTTTGCAGTTGAGGAAACTGAGGCAAATTAAAGTTAAGTGATCCACTTAACACCTAGCTGCCTCAGTGTGACTAATTTGTTTGTTCATCCAGTCATTTTATTCCTTTCCAGATTTAGTAAGACAGGTGCCTACATCTCATAAAGTGATCAGGATGTAGATTCATCTCTATGGTCTAGATAACATATCATTAACACTTTGTGATTACATTCTGAACCATCAACTGAGGTTTGTTTTGTTTTTGTTTTTGAGGAGGGGACTCTCTTCTCTCCCATAGATATTTCCATATTTTTCTAAATCCCTCATATTCTTCATTTCTTATAGCATTATTAAACTCTCTTCTGTTCATATACCATACTTTGTTTAATCACCCCAATCAAAGGGCACCCACTTTGTGACCAATTTTTTTGCTATGGCAAAAAGTGCTGCTATGCCTTTGAGAATTGGTAGATAGATGGCCGGCCTCAGGATTGAGATGTCCTGAATTCACATCCTGTCTTTGGTGTATATTTGCTGTGTGACTCTTTGCAGGTAATTTAATCTCTCAAATTCTCTAAAAAATCTAAGTTGTAGAATTTGTAGTTGTAGTTTTCTCTAATGGTGTAACATCCCTCAGGGCTACTCTCCAAACTCACATTCATGTGTAGTTTCAGGTGCCCAGAGTATGGTTTCTTTTTATAATCTATCTATCTATCTATCTATCTATCTATCTATCTATCTATCTATC